CACTCATGCCAGGGCTCCTCGTGCAGCGAGTGCTTGCAGCGCCTGTTGTTTGCGTGGCGCTCGTCAGCAAGGATATAATTAAGAGCAGCTATTTTGGATGCTTCCTTTATCCGGCAGCTCACGGCGATGCCGCTGCAGGGTCCTCCCCTCCTCCTCCGAAATAGGCACTTGGCTTTGCTGTGACTGTCTTCCCCGTGGGTACTTGGTGTCATCCTGCTTGTGGGGTCGTGGGGATCCCTGTTGGGCAGGTTGAGGGGGGACACGCAGGGGTCCTGCTGCAGAGCAGGGGGAAGTGACAGGGATGGTGGGACTGGAGGGTAGGGGGACCACCGCAGTGGGGTTATGGAAAGGATGGGGAGGAGAATTTGGGGGAGGTTGCCCCGGCTTATTCAGTACTGCCGCCAAGCTGGGGGGGAGCAGCAATGGCTTTCCCCTCATTAAGTAGATGTTGATTTAGCGGAGGCTGGAGCCATCTGCTCAGAGCAGCAGCCTGCTCCCTGCGAGCTGGCGCGGCACTGCTGGGGGGAGCTGGGTGAGGATGTGCTTCATCAGCGGGGACTTGGCCAGGAGCCCCCACACCCCGGCCGGGCATTGATTGCTGCTGGCACTGCACTGGCTGCAGATGCAGGGGGCTGGCGCATGAGCACGCTAATGGGTGCTGCATGGCCCCGCTGCTGGGAAGGGAGGGGAGCCCCCGGCCAGGGGCCACAGAGGCACTGAGGAGTCCCACTGTGTGGGGCTGTGGCCTCAGACATGGGTGCAGGGGAAGGGCTGGAGCAGCCAGGCATGGGGGGTCTCCCCGCAGCGTGCACTGGGGTGCCCAGAGCTGTGGTTGAGCATGGGGGTCTCCCCATGGCGTGCACCAGGATGCCTGGAGTGGCAGCCAGGCATGGTGCAGGTGGTCAGGGTGACATACAGCTGGACCCTGGGGACGGGCAGAGCAGCTCCCCTGTGTATGCCTGCGCCTGCACATGCAGCTGGCTCGTGCATCGCCTGCCATTGTGGTGCCCACCCAGGGCCATCGCTGCTGCGGGGTGGCCGGCACAGGCCAGCGCATGGCAGGGGAGGACGGGGCCAGCGAGGAGCTCACTGCCCCCACTGCACACAGAGCGCTGGGCTGAATTCAAGCGTGCATTTAGCTACTGTGATCCTTGTGTTTAAGTAAAGGCATTTCTGGGAGTAGTGGTTGGGCTGAGCTCCCCGCGGCGGTGTTTACTCCTGGCAGACGCTGTTTATAGTCGGTGTCTATGGCAGACGGCTGCGGCTTCTGGTGCGCACAGGAGTTGCGGACTGGAGCCGGACTCGGCAGTGCCGGGGCTCGCTGGATCCGGCAGGGCTGGCGATGTGGTCCTGCCTGACCCTGCTCTGTATCGTCAGGCCCCTCAGGATGCTTGCAGGGTGCAAGCTGCTCTGAGAGCCGTGGGGGGACCGTGCCGTGGGGCTGGGGTGCAAGGGGAGCCCTGTGCTCCCACATGGCATGACCATCACCTGAGCAGCCCATGGGGAGCAAAGAGGGGACTTTGGGGTGTCCCAAGGACAGTGGTGGGGCTCAGGTGGTCTGAGCAAGTGCCCCAGTGCCGAGGCTGCCACCGTCCCTCTGTGCTGCAACGTCTGCCCGATGGCCCCAGCATCTGCCTCTGCGTGGACAGGGCAGGATGGTGCTTGTGGGTGCTTGTGGGTGCTCGCGGGTGCTCGGTGCTGTCCATCACCCCCCCGGCGATCCCGGGAGGGAGGACAGCCAGGGACACACTTGGTGCCTGCTGACAGCGTGGCTGTGTAGCAGCCCTGCTCTTCTCCCGGCTGTGCCTGTCTCCTTTTGTGGCCGGTATTTTTAATTGGCAGCACTCTCAGCTCCCTTCCCTCTCCCTTGTTAGTGGAAAAGTTTTCCTTGTGCTTCCCAGCCATTAACGAGCTCTGCTGTGTCTCGCTGCCCCAGACAGGCTGCAAATCGCACATGGCAGCAGTGGGGCCGAGACAGCCCCGAGCTGCAGATCTGGTGATGTGTCGGGGCGCCTGTCCTTCTCCCCCTGCTCCGGGAACCACGAGTACCCAGCAGTGGCGGGGCTGTGCCGAGGGCCTGGATGGACTGCAGGCTCTGGCTGCGACGCTGCGCCCTCGGCATGGCTTCATCGTGCTCCATGCTAGGCTGCCAATGCTGTGCCAGGCAAGCGTGCTGCTTCGTTACAGGAGGGGCTTAATTGCTGGGGTGTGGGACCACAGCATGAACGTTTTGCTCACAGCCCTTTGGGAGATTTGGTGGTGCTGGCTGGCACGTCAGCCGCTGCCTTCCCTGCCCTGCCTGCTGCCGGTGCAAAGCCGCTGTCCCTCAAGGGCCCCAGTGCTGGTGCAGACAGGGGGTTGATTCTCCACCAGTGTCACGCTGGCTCCCACCATCTGGGCCCTTGGCCTGGCCCCGTGGGGGTGCCAGCCACCATACCGCCATCCATGCTACCATCTACACCTTGCCATGCTGCTGGGCAGCCAGTGGCACCCTGAGGTGCTGCACCCCAGGAGGACGTGGGACCACCCAGCTACTCCCCAGCGCACCCCATCAGACTGATGCCGCACCTAAAGACCTTTTCCTGGTAGCGCTTGAAGCCATGCTGGGGCCTGAGCTCGCCGCAGCCCGGCATGGGCACCAGCAGGCTCGCGGCTGCTGCCAGAGCTTTAATGAAAGTCAAACCGCTGCACGGCTGGAAGTCACTGACTAAGCACTTGGCACAGGCGTTGATGGAAGTGCTAAACAGATTTTGGCAGCCGCAGCCTCTCCTGCAGGTGCAGGGAGGAAAGATTTGCCGCTACGGTGTGTTCAGCTGATGCTGGTTTGGCCAGTGTCGGGGGCTGCCGACACGCACCTGGGGATTTGCGTCGCGGGGTGCAGCGGTGATGCTGTTGGCGTCACTGCTGCACCCCGTGATGCCAATCCCTGGGCATTGCCCCATCCCAACTCCTCACTGGGAGCAACCCGTGGGAAAGGCCAGGCACCACAGACCTGCTGACATCCGTCCGTCCGTCTGCGAGGACCGGTTAGCCGGAGCGGGGCCCGTCTCGGGGCCGGAGATTGGAGCCAGTGCTGGGCATGGTGCCGCTCCTGCGCCCGCCGGCTCCTTTTGTCCGCCGGCCATTTGCATCTCTGGGGGGCGGCTCGGCCCCCTTCTCCTGGGAGCTGCTTCTTGGCGCGGGGCAGCAGCGGAAGCGGCCCTGGGCTCCTCTCCACCAGCGCTGAATGGCACTTTTGTTGAGGAGCCTGGAGGCAGCTCGGGACTGGAGAGGACCAACTCGGCCCCGTCCGCTGTGGTCGGTCCCAGTGCTGGGGGGCTCTGCCCGCCAGCCATGTCCAGTCCTTCCCAGGGGAGCATGGGGATGCTGCAGCGGGGATGGGATGTGGGGGCTGTTCCCCAGGTCTGGCCACCCTGATGGGGATTCGTTGCTGGGGTGGTTTGTTAATGTGTTAAACGAACAGCACAGGCTGCCAGGGCAAGGGAGCTTGGGCTGGTGGCGTTTTGTTTGCTGGAAGGAGGGCAAGCGGGGCTGGCTGCGGGGACCTTGAGGTGCCCCATCCCTCCCCATGCCCTGGGGACCCTGTGGTGCCCCATCCCTCCACGTGCCCTGGGGACCGTGCAGTGCCCCTTCTCATCCCACTGCTGTTCGGAAGCCATCCTCCATAGCTCTCACCCATCAGCACTGGGCTGTATCATCGTTAGCAAATGTCCTGCAGCTCGGACTGTGAGGTGGCCAACAGAGTGCGGGAGGGAGCCGGTGCTGGGTGCCAGAGCCTGGGAGCCTCCACATGGGCAGGGAGAAACCTCTGCCACTGCCCCAGCTGCTCCTGGGACCGTCCGCTATGCGTGGCCCAGGCAGGGGTGGTTCAGCCCAGCACCGCTCCCTAGGCTTGTGGGTCAGGGTCAGGCACAGCCGCCCTTCCTGCCGCCGGTGCCCCCTGCACCCTGTTTGCTGACACAGCTCTTTGTGCCAAATAATTTAATATCTCACTGGGATGCTGACAAGGAGACACAGTACAGGGGGAGTAAGCAAGGCCATGGCTGTGGTGTGCAGGGAGCATCCTTCTGGACCCATGTCTCCCTTCCCTGCCTGAAATTGCCCCTTCCAGCCAGCTTCTCCCAGTGAGCACTTATCCCTGGCATGCTTGTCCCTGGCATGCTTCCTGCTAAGCTGCTGGGGTGAGGATGGCTGCCCGTTCTCCCTGCCAGGCCGTGCAGCCTTTGAGTTATTGCCCACAGGCTCAGGGCTGTGCCAGTGCCGGTTCGCTGTGGCGGGCATGGGGGCTGCTGCATGGGTCCCCAGCCCGGGGCTCTGCCATGCTGCAGCCACCCTCCTCTTCCTCCTCCTCCTGCTCCAGCTCCCCACTGGGTGCTGCGAGGAAGAGCAGGCTCACTGGAAAGCCTGAGTGGCATTTTTCTGTTAAATCTTATGTAAATCTGGCTCCATCCTTCCTCGTGGTGCTAATTGGATTTCCCCGAGGTGGTTTCTTTTTCCCATACCAGCAGGCGTGGAGTGCGAGTGGGGCAGTGCCAGGCAGGGGGCTGCAGGGGCAGGGGACGTGCTGGGGCACGGGGGAGCATGCCGAGCTCCCTGCCCTGCCAAAGCAGCCCAGCCTGGCGGCTCGGTGCAGCACTGGGCTCCATGGGGCCATGCCGGAGCCCCAGCAAGGTGAGGGAGCCAGGGAGGGAGCCCCGGCAAACCCACAGCAGCATGGGTGGACGGACACCCTGGTGCCAGGAGAGGTCCTCAGGCTCTGCCGCCATCAGCGGGGACCCCTCCACCCTGAGCCCTCTTGCCTGCAGGCTCGGGCAGCCCCGCACAGCACCATGCTGCATCCCGGCCCAGGCTGCAGAGCTGCAGGGAGCTGAAACCTTGGTGGGGAGGGAAACCTGGAGCTGCAGCCGCATCACCTCCCCGGTGTGCCCCAGGTCCCTGCCCCAGCTGCCTCCTGTGCCACTCTAACGTGCTGTCCCCTTTCCTCCCTCCCAGAGCTCCTTGGATCAGCAAAGAAAGTCAACGTCAACTTCCAAGACACCGACGGGTGAGTGGGAGCCCCATGCCTGGGCACACATGCAGTGGGGTGCATGGGCAAGGGTGTGCATGCCGTGGGGTGCACAAAAAAGGGTGCGTGTGCCATGGGGTGCTGTGAGCAGGGCATGTGTGCCTGGCGATGTGTGCAGCACAGGGTGCAGTGAGCAGGAGTCTTGTGTGTGTGTGTGGGCATGCCGGGCTCTCTGGAGCAATGCTGTTGAGCTGCTGGGGTCCAGACGGGCCTGGGCTCTTGCCTCTGTTAGCCAGCACGGCTGAGCCCTGCCTGCACCCCTGAGCTGGTGGGCTTGCACTTAGCAGCCGCGGGCATCAGAGGAGGCAGGAGGTGAGGGCTGAAAGGCAGAGGAAGAGCTGTGCCCCGTGTGTCACCGGCCTTTTCCCAGCTCTCGCCGCAGGCTTGGGGCTCTGTGGGTGCTGTGCAGGGGGCAGCCCTGCGGGGCACTGGGTGGGTGAGCTGTGACCCTGCTGGGCTGTGCTGCAGGTGCGCCGCTTCGCAGCTGGCATCCAACAGGCAGGGAGGAGCAGGGAAGGGGGCCGCAGGCTCACCCCCTGCTAATCACACTAATGAGGCCGCTGGTGTGGGAAGGCAGCCGGAGCCCTGCAGAGGAGGGGGGCTGTGGTGAGAGCAGGGAGTGATGCTTGCAGGGCTCTGCAGCAGCTGCCCCCTGTGCCCCCTGTCTCCCCCTGCCCTGTGCCCCCCACACTGAGAGGGGCAGCAGGACACAGGGCTGGGCAATGCCGCTTGGTCCCTGGGGACAGCTCTGCTGTGGCCGTGGAAATGGCGCGTGAGCGCCGGGGCCGGATGGGATCAGGAACGGGAGGGCACGCCCTGGGGATGCGCAGTCGCAGAAGCCTCGGTCCCTCCTCATCCTCGCCCCCGAGCAGGGCCCTGGCACCAGGGCGGTGGCAGCGGGCATCCCCTGGTACTCACCAGCGCATCGGCTCTGCCAGCCCGTGCGCGTGCACGTATGTGCGTGCACGGGTGCATGCAAGCATGCCGATGTGCAGCTGAGCGAGCGTGTGCATGCAAGTGTGTCTGTGAGCATGAGCATGCATGCACAGCAGTGGGAGCGTGTGGGCACGCCAGCCAGCGGTGGGGCGGGTGCATGGTGCTGCCTGCGCAGGGCAGGGGCTGAAGGGCACGATGTGGGTAGGGCAAGGGGATGCATCGCCCCACGGACCACCTCGTGCAGCTGCTATTGGAGCCGGCAGGTCACTGGAGGGCTGTGTATTATAGCAGGGCTGAGTCGGCAGTTGAGAGCTACAGTCAGGGTCTCTGCTCGTGCCCTGCCTGCAACTGCCTGCGGCTACCGGCTGGCTTGGCGCATGCAGGAGCAGCCCTGCAGCAGGGGAGCAACCTCCAGCCTCCAGCCCTGCTCCTGGAAAGGATCATCCCCCAGCAATGTGCAGGGCAAACCCAGGCTGCAGCCCATGTGTGCTCTGCGCTGCCACCAGCATGCTGTGCCAGCTCAGCCAGCTTTGGTGCTGTGCCTCAGTTTCCCCATTTCTGCTGTACTTGCTGATTCCCAGGCTGGTGGGCACCATGGGTGAGCACTATGCTGGTGTCCCTGGGCTTGCCCAGGGGATGGTGCCATGCATTGTGCGTGGCCTTTGAGGCCGGCTGGGCCGTGCCGACAGAAGCCCCCAAGGCAGCCCAGGGAGGGCTGCGATTTGCACCATCTTGAGCGGATTTGAGCAGGGCGCTGGAGCAGAAAATGTTGACATTTCCCAGGCAGACGTTGGGGATCGACCTCCTGCGCAAGCTGTCTGCTCGCATCGCCGCTCCCGGCCAGGGAATCGCAGGCGGCAGCTCTGTGGGGAAGGTGGTGGCCAAAGTGTGCTCCCCAGTGGGGACATGTTCCCCCTCAGCTGGGGGTCCCGATGATGGGGGGCAGACGGGATCGCTGCCCCACCACCCACCTCTCGGGCACCAGGCAGCCACAGGGGTTGGCAGGTCTCACTGGCGTCTGCAGTCCGTTCCCATGCTCCGGTGACACCGGGGTGGCCCCGGGGATGGGACAGGGACGCTGTTCATGACCGGGGCCTGGAGCAGCGGGGTAGCGGGCGCAAGCGCAGCCACGCGGAGGATGCCGCTGCCGGGAGCAGCAAGTAGGTCAGCTCCTGGCCTGCTTCCCAGCAATGAGCCTCCTGGTTTCGCCAGTCCCAGGGAAAGCAGAGCGAGGTGTGGCATGGCAGGGCCGGCGGCTTTCCCGGGCTCTCCCTGCTCCCTGGCACCCCCCACCCTCAGTGGGACCCCCGCCTACCCTGCTCATTGCTTCCAGCCCATGTGGTCTGAACATCCCCAGGGAGCATTTCATCTGCATCTATCTTGCTTCAGCATACCCAGATCAGACCCGCCAGCCCCTGCTCCCAGCTCGGCGGCATCACCAGCCGTGCATCCCACCGTGCGGGTTGGGTGGGGTCTGTCCTGTGGCTGTAGCACTGCAGAGGAAGCTAAATAAAGTGATGGGCTGGAGAGCAAACCCATATCTACACTGGCACATCCACCCTTCTGGCCCTTGTTGCACGCTGGGACGTGGCCGGCTCCTGGCTCAGCTTGTGGCTTGGCCATGGCTGGTCCCTGCGGCAGGTCTTTCTCTGGGTGCCCACAGAAGGATGTAGAGGTGGGGTTGCCTGGGGAGCGTGGGGACATGTGCATGTGGGGGGGCTGCGGGAGGCAGAACGGGTACCCTGGGGTGCTGTGGTGGGTGCAGCCTCGAGGCCATGCTGCCGGCAGGGGCTGGCAGGGCTGCAGAGGGGACAGGGTCGTGGGACCCCTGACACCATGGCCGGTCTCCAGGTTCTCGGCTCTTCACCATGCGGCGCTCAACGGCAACACGGAGCTCATCTCACTGCTGCTGGAGGCGCAGGCTGCGGTGGACATTAAGGACAACAAAGGTGAGTCCCTGGGTCCTGGCCATGGCCCCCCGCCCCATGCCCCTCTGCAGGCTCTGAGGGGCTCATGGCGTGCCTGTCCTGCCCACCTGCAGGCATGCGGCCCCTGCACTACGCAGCTTGGCAAGGCAAGAAGGAGCCCATGAAAATGGTGCTGAAAGCGGGTTCCTCTGTCAACATCCCGTCGGATGAGGGTCAAATCCCCCTGCACCTGGCAGCACAGCATGGGCACTACGACGTGGTGCGGTGGGGCCGGCGGTGGGGGGCGGCGGTGGCAGGGGGGACTGTGCCGCCCTCCCTGCCTCTGCCCTTGCCGAGCTGGGGTCTCACTTGTCCGCAGTCAGAGATGCTCCTGCAGCACCAGTCCAACCCCTGCATCATGGACAATTCGGGGAAGACGCCCCTGGACCTGGCATGCGAGTTTGGCCGGGTCGGGGTAAGTCCTTGCATGGCCGGGACCCCTGAGAAGAAGACTGGGAGGGGAGGGGGCCACGGCCGGGTCCCTGGGGGTGCTGGAGCAGCCTGGGGGGGCACGGAGCAGCCCCCTGACGAGATGGCAGTGGGGGCCTGTGGTGTCACCGCTGTGGGGGATCTCCGGCTGCTGGAGGAGGGGCAGAGCATGGAGGGGAGGCAGGGGCTGGGGGGCCGCAGCCCCGGTCGGCGGCTGAGCTGCCCTTGCAGCCCTGCTCCATCTGTGTTTGCTGAGCCAGGTGGTCCAACTGCTCCTGAACAGCAACATGTGCGCAGCGCTGCTGGAGCCCAAGCCGGGGGACACCACCGACCCCAATGGCACCAGCCCCCTGCACCTCGCCGCCAAGAACGGCCACATCGACATCATCCGGTGGGTGCCGTGGGCAGGGAGGGCAGCGCCGGTCCCACCCCCCCATCCTCACTGACCCCGCCGTCTGCCCGCAGGCTCCTGCTGCAGGCTGGCATCGACATCAACCGGCAAACCAAGGCGGGCACAGCGCTGCACGAGGCGGCCCTGTGCGGCAAGACGGACGTGGTGCGGCTGCTGCTGGATGGAAGGGCCCCCCCCGACACCCCCTGACACCCCCAGCCCAGGAAGGGGCTGCGGGAAGGGAGCGACCCTGCACCCAGGGGCTGCGGAGCTGTATGTGCACCTCTCCTGCGGGATGGGGGTGAAGGTCCCAGGGGACACAGACACCAAGGCAGTGAGCTGTGCCCTCTGGCTGCTGGTCTCAGGGTGATCCAGGGGGTCCCAGGGGGTGGCAGGGAGGGGGGCAGCCTCCTCCCAAGCCCTCTCCGTGCCGTTGCAGAGCGGGATCAACGCCCACGTCAGGAACACCTACAACCAGACAGCTCTGGACATCGTCAACCAGTTCACCACCAGCCAGGCCAGCAAGGAGATCAAGCAGATGCTGCGGGGTAGGGGGCCGGGGGGGC